ATAAAACCATTTGTGTATTGAAAAGAATTTTTTGTTTGTTTTATTTAAATTTTTTTTCATGCGATATAATTTGATCATTTCCCCCATCTCAACTCCTCCCATTTCCTCCTCACCTCCCTACCCACCTAACCTCATGTTCTCCCTCTTTCCTTTGGGGGAAAAAAACCCCACAAAAACTAAAATCAAAACAAGCAAAAAAAAACCAAAAACCTGATAAGACAAAAAATAAGAAAACATTCTATCATGCACAAAAAAACACGAAAACAACATTGAGTTCATTCTGTGTTAGTTCATTCTACTACTCCTGGACATGGGACCTGCCCTGGGAGTGTGGTTAATATAGCCAATGATACTCCATTGTAAAAAAAGTGGATTTTACCTTTGACAGCAAGTGTCATCAGTTACAAATAGCTTCTTTGTCAGGGGTGGAACTTTGTGTTCACTTCTCCTCTCAGTGCTGAGTCCCTTTCTGGCTTGACCCTGTGCAGGCTTTAGGAATCCCACCACCGTTCTCCGTGAGTTCTCCGTGAGTTCATATGTGCCTAAGTCCTGTTGCATCTGGAAAGTGTCTATTACCTCTGGCTCTTAACAGTCTTTTTGTTGCCTCTTCCGCTTAGATCTGTGAGCCTTGAGAGGAGAGGTTTGATGGAGACATCCCTTTTAGGACTGAGTAACCAAAGTCTCCCACACCTGCATGTTATCTAGTTGTGGCTCTTTGTTAATCAGGCTATACTGCAAGAAGAAGCGTCTAGTGATGCACTGATCTATGGGATAGCAGTATGCCTTTATGGCTATATCCCTTTAGTAGAATAATATATAGTAGTAGGCTTTTCCCTAGGCCCATGACTCATCTAGTATCAGGTTTATGGCCACTTCAGCAGTGTCAGGTATGGGTTCCACTTCATGGAGTAGGTCTTTAATCCTATGAGAAAGTGGTTGGTTAATCCCATAACATTTGTGCCATTCTTGCACTAGTATATCTTGTGGGTTGGTTGCTGTGAATAGGTCACAGTGTTTGCTGCTAGCTGAGCGATATTGATAATTATTTTTCTCCTCTGGTAGCATGCAAGGTGCCTTCCAGTGCCAAATGCTAGTCAGAACGGGTTAAGCTTTTAGTTGGGCATGGGTTCAACTTCTCCATGTTTGATGACATAAATAAATGTTGGCTTCAGCAATGGGGTTTTACATCAGGCAGTGGAGAGCAACCAACAGCATTGGTCATAGCCTGTGATGTTTGGGGAGAGTATATATGGGACTCAATAAGATATAAACCATTTTTTTTTTGCACTGGAGGTTTTACTTGGTGGCATAAGATAGCTAGTTGGGGCATTGCCTACCCCATTATTTGATGACTCAATTTAAATTCCTCTCATATGTATTACATATTTTATGGAACTTCTACAGTAAGAGTTTTCCATATGGTTTTTCCAGAAGCCCTTTAGTGTTAGTTGTCCCTCCCTATATTCCCTCCATTAACCTATCCCTGTCCCCTTTACCGCTGTTATTCTCATTTCCCCTATATCTCTTCATAACCTATATGCTATTTCCCCATCCTTGGGAGATGCTCTCCTCTCCTCTGGTCCCTTACTAGGTGCTAACTTCTGTGATCATTTGGATTGTAGTATATCAAAAGCTTAAAATTTAACATTCAAATATAAGAGAAATGCATATTTATAAGCAGTATAGGAATTGCAGTGTTTCTTTTAGGATTGATATTAGAATTGAATCCTTATATAGATATTCTGTATACACATAGTATATTCCTAATATGGCACACAAACTATTTTGAAAAAATTATTTTTTTGGTGATATGGCTTGCACAGTGTACATAAGGGGTACAATTTTACCATAAACAGTATAAATTCTTAGCACTTTTATCCTAAATGTATATCATTTAAAAATAACGGACAAATTACATCTTAAAATATAAAATTGATATTGTTGTCATTTAGTAGTCGAACATAAACTAATTAAAATACCTAATTGACATTAAAGTCTCTGGTTTGGAATAATAAATATTATCAGACATATTGAAGGGGAATGAACTCTGTCACTTCCCTTCCTCAT